TCCAACCTCTGTCATTTCAAAGATACTCTCTGGATCTAGACTTCCTCCTCCCATTTTCCTGACACATGTGACCGTTCCTCTATGTGTGACTGAAATCAGGAGACTGGCCACAGAACAGGCCTTTTCCTGTAGTGTAGCGTCCACCACGTGTCTGTGACCAATCTGAAACACAGACACACAACCGATTTATAAAGCTACAGAAACACAGAACTGAACATAAGATGAGGAGAGTGGTGCATTGTGGATAATAGCTCCAGGCTTTGCTGCACCTTGCAGAGGGTTACGATACACGGGACATTTTTCACATTGAGCCGCATGCAGTCGTAAGGGTCGTCTGACAGCTCGATCTCCTTCACACCCTCCTCATCCTCAGATATGTGCACTTTGGGGATTCTGTTTCAGAAAAGGATGCGGATAAATTTCTCATTACTTATTTGGGGTTTCCACAATATATATATATATATATATATATATATATATATATATATGTATATGATATACTAAATATGTTTCATGGGAAAAACACTTAAGAAGAACTAACGTAGTTATAAATTACTGTAATGTATAACTAAAAAAAAGAATCATTACAGAAACTTCTTTGACTTTTCCAGGGCTGGAAACAATTTTTAAAAATTAATGTAAAAAAAAAGAAAAAAAAAAAAAAAAAAAAAAAAGCTGAAAAAAAATAAAATATTAGATGAAAAAATGTAAACTTATTTTTAATTTTACACTATAACAGCATTAAAGGCTATATACTAAAATGAAAAATAATACGATTTAAAATAGTCTCAACAGCAATACCTAAATGAATTTTATACAATCATTTAACAACATTATTTTTACAAACAAAAAAAATCAAATAAATAAATATATAAAAATAACTATTATATTCAAATTAAAAATGTATGAACATTTCTAATATTTTCCCAAGAGAAACTTCAAAAAAGCTCCTTAATGTACTTAATGAAAGCATTTACAACCTAAAAAAATTACTTAAATTCATGTGGAAGTACTAAAATGCCTAAAACAAAAATGCCTAAAAAAAATAAAAATAATAATAATCCGAAAGTACACAAATAAAAGCTAAATAATAATAAATACTATATCAGTATATAAAATAATAGTATAATAACACAACCTGCCACAGTTTTAACATTTCCTTATGGAAACTTTACAGCTTTGATGGGAAAAAACACACTGTTACTTACCGTGTATTAAACAGAGCAGCTTTTATTGCGATGGATATGGCATCAAACAGGTTTCCGTCACACTGCAGAAGCTGCACACATAATTACGCATTTAAATGAATGATAAATTAACAGCATATAGATAGCAAAATATTTCATAGTATTTAAGGAAAATATTTAATTCAACATTCTCTTCCTGAGAAGTGAATATGAGGATGCTGTTATCACCCTCTTCTGGACAGATATGCGAGTCACTCACCAACACGTCCACATACAGCACCCAGCAGTTCTCTCCCGGGCAGATGCAGAGGGAACGCAGGTCCAAGCTGTGTCTGTTGTTGAACACTTTACAGAGTGTGTTACTAAGCTCCACCCCCAGCTCCTCCCCTCCACGCCCCTCAAACTCTGGAGTGGCGTTTGCTGAGCTACAAAAGCAACAACATGTCAAGCATTTCATACTCATTTACTATCAAAATGGTGAGTAAACTGATGTGACATTAGAATGCATGTCATGAACGTATAAACAAGCATCATCTATGGATATTCATTGCTAAATTGCATATTTATACACTGAAGTCCCTGCACTGGTCAATTACAGTTCCCACTATGTACATACATGGACTAAACTGTCAAATAAATTGCATATTGTCTTATTAATTGAGTATCTCAGTATCGTATGCATTAATCCTTGGAATTTATATGATTTAATGGTTAAACTTTTTTAGTACAAATAAAT